AATCAAAGCACCAAACTCCAACCCACAAAAAAATCAAGGCTTATTTTTCATCAACCAGTCTGGCTTTGTTGCTGTTGGACACAGTTTGAACAAATGGCCTTTACGCTTCCTTTCAGACAGTGGAACAGCAACAAATTTAAGCTCAACAATGCCTGTATGCTTATTATTCTAGTCATTTGGTATCTCACCCAGTCTACAAAAGCTGTATATACTGCATGCATACTGTAATACTACGTGTATGCTATACTATAATACTACATGCATAATAACCACCTATAGTTTAAGTATGGGAAATAGCAAGAAAGCATTTTCTTTTTTCTTTTCCTTATCTCGGTTAATTGAATGAAAGTACTCCAAAATGTTTAGGTCTGTTGGTGATGATATATATATTCTTTCAAAATGCACATACACTATATCTTTATGAAATAAATCTGCAGTCATTAAAAAGACACTTTGACCCTGTAAAACTCTCTCAACAATCTTTAAAGATTCAACATATTTAATGAGAGCTGCAATTAGTTCCCTTGGCAAAATCTAATAAAATTCTTCTTCAAAAAGAGCTTAACCAATTCTTGGTTCAAATAAACCCTTAATGTATTATAAAACCTCTTCCAGATAAACCCTTCAGACTTCACTTTCTCATTAGTAGTATTATGCCAAGCATTTTCCTTTAACACACATAAAACGTAAGAAATCATTCATTAAAAAAACTTGCAGACACATTAACTTAAAACAATTACAGAATAGCTTAGACAAATCAGTTTGTACGTATGTGTCTAATTTGGAGCACTCACTCACTTTGGAGTAAAGCACAATGTAACCAAAGACTTCCCGTAAGGTAGCAAGGTGCCTTGATTGGGAGTGCACAAGATCAAGGTAGAAACATCTACATCTCTCTTTCTGTTTTTGAGGCTTAAGTCTTGTAAAGCAGCATCTGTGCTCCTCTGAAGATCTGTTCCCTAAAATATAATCAAAATGTAGAATCGTTTAGCCTGCTCTGCTTCCCCTTTTGTTTTTGGTTTTTGGGTGGGTTTTGGGGGTGTTTGTTGGTTTTGTTTGGTTTTATTGTGGTTTTCTTCTTTGGGATTGTTTTGTTTGGTTGGGGGGGGGGTTGGGGGGTGGTGGTGGTTGTTGGTACATTTTCACCATTTTCGTATCATTCACAGCAAGTAGGAAGTCATAACTTAAGCAATAGCACTGACATAGCTACCTATCACACGGCCAATTAATCAATTCTTAAACATCAATCCCATAACAAGGTTTTGAAATCCCCTTTTTAAAGATGATGCTCACCCACAGGATTTCACTGAGAAGAACAAGTGAAACCAGGTTCATAACATCCTAGAATACCAAAGTATCTTTTGATAAATCCTACTAAATGATAAGAAATTCAGCAGCATTTCAAGGTAAAGCACTCAAAAAAAAAAAAAAAAAACACAAACCAAAAAAACCAAACTGAACAAACAAACAAACAAACCCACACAGACGCCAGGAACGTACTTAAAACTGTTGTCACATAGTGAAACAGACATCTGAAAAACTTGATTCCAAGATTATATTATAGTAACATATTTGTTGGTTAGACAGAAGTTTCAGAAACCCTATTGATCAGGAAATATTATGACATAGTACAAACTGCTAGAAGATTAATGTTGAGAAACAAAAAAAGCAAAACTAGAAGTGAAAACAAATTTTCAACTAAAATAAAACCCAGAACAGTTTCTTACCATCTCTCCTCCAATGGCATTGTCTTCCAGTACTGCTACCCAGTCCATACACTCAGGACTTTCATTGTATAAAGATATTTGTTCAGTCTTTGAAGACCCAAAGTAAACTGGTCCAAAGTTAATGCACTCCAATGCATTTCCACAAGACACTCCTAGAACCTTAAGAACTTGTTTAACCACAACAGCTTTGATCCATACTTCAGCGCAGCCATGACCTTCCAACTCCACTCTGTCAGTAAGAGTAGAAAGCAGCAATAGGTAATGTGAGAGTGTTAGAAATAATTCATTTGGTTTAATTAAAAGCTATGCAAAACTGAACCAAAGCACAGCATTCAAATCACTGCCTTTCCATAAATAACCTAGCCTGAGGCAGGGGGGGAAGCTGTACTTGACTACGTGATACCTAAAAGGAATATTACCGTTCAGGAAGAATCACACATTACATAGTGGAGTTTTGGGGGGCTTTTTTCATTTTTCTGCTTTTTTAATGCTTGAAACAATAGGAATGATATCTCAAAAGAATCAGAGATGTCCTTGGATGATACACTGCTCTTATTTCTGAGAATCTTTGTGTCTAGTTACCAATTCTGGTATATATGCAGTAATTTTCTTTTAGGCAACTGGAGCTAAAGTTCATCTGAATAAGCATAAAAGAACTACTGCTCTTCCTGCCTGAATGCTTGATCTAGATGATATCACAAAACACCAAAGAACCATAAAGACAGGGTACAAATCTTTATTATTAGAATTCTACTGGAACAAAGCATATTTGTTCTTGTTGCACGAAACAATCAAATTTGATAATATAGCTATTGTTCTAATAGAATCAACTATCCTTTTAAATATCCTCTGAGCTGAAAAAGAAAAAATAAGTAAAAACCTTTGTGTTGAATCATCGCATATAACTACACAACCTGGAGAACAAAGGAAAAGCAGAAAGCATGATGCTTTGCAACCAAAATATTGAAACTGAATAACCAAAGAAAATATCATGTGAAAGAGGATTTAACTGTGGTGCAAAATGCAAATATTTTCTTCCCTGCTGCTCCAATAGAATTTGTCTCCTTTCCTTTCATTTCCTTTTCCAACTAGCTACAACAAGCAAGGACAGGAAGTGCTAATATTATGCTATATATCTTAATAATTTTAAAAGAAAACAATGGAAAAACAAACAAAAAAACCCCAGCAAAAGCCAAACACACCCTATTCACTATTATAATAAAACAGGATTGAAAAGGACTTTACAGATGGACATCTACTTTCAAACTCTGGCACGTCTAGAAAGTCTACATTCACCAATTGAAGGGAGATAAGGTAGACATTTAAGAACAGTCTATTCTTAAAGGAGTTAGTGGTTGCAAATACATTCTCTCCATTTAAAATAAGATATACCAAAGGACAACATAATGTTTCTCAGACTCCTGAAACACAAAAAGCCAAAAGAAAAACAGCAAAGTTAGAAAAGCAAAAAAAAAGAAATTAAGGAACACAGGATGTGTAGAAAGGTAAAAGATACAAAAGCTCTTGATTAATTGTATAATGAGAGATGTGCGGACATTCCTTAGCATTACAACTTATGAGAGATCTTTAATAACACAGCCAGGTACACAATTTATTCATCACTGATCATGTTATTTCCACAGAACTTCAAATTAATTTAATAAAAATAAATATGGAAGACAGCAACTGACACTTAGGAGATCAACTTTTTTAGATAAACAATCATAATAAAGACTAGAATTAATAATGTAATTTATAGAGCTGGAATTCCTCAGTCGTACACTCACTTCATCACTTCTTCGATGATTCTGGGTACATCTGTGCAGATATCCACTTTAACTGTCTTCATAGATTTTGGCTCTACCACTCCTCTGATAGGCTCTATGTTAAGCAGGAGAGCTCCATCATATGATACTTTAAATGTACCTAAAATAAACAGAATAATAAACACAATGTTCCACAACAAAGTTGTAGATTTGTATTCTTCTATTACACATTTGGAGTTACAAAACATAGAATGCAGATATTCACAAGCAGTACATTTTCTTGTGGGAACAGGAAGCATGGAGTTAATCTTACTCAAAACTATCTCTAACAACAAAGTAGATAACTATTTCCAGCATTTCTTTAAACATTACATCTACATATCCAATGCCACTTTACAAGTTGTAATTGTAACACAAAAGGTATTCACATTCCAAACAAAAGTGACTATATAAAAAAGCAGCTGTAAGTTTGCAAGTTACAGGCTGGTTTATAAACAGTTCTAGACAGCTACTATAGCCAGAAAGTTAAATGGTTTTAGTAGTTTTCATTATTTGGTACACATCACAATTTACTGCAGAAGAAAACAGTGAATATTTCTAGGTTATAATTTTTTTTTTTTTGAGGTGAAAAAAATATATTTAACCAGCAACACTAATTAACTGACATTATATCATAGATAGCAAGAAATTCCTTCAAATATTGTAGGAAAAATTCAGTTTGACCTCAGACAATCTTTGATATGAGATGCAGAAACAAACAACTCATTTTGCGCAAGGGACAAGATGTGAAATGCGATGCTTGAGTCACAGGCCAACACACAGCATTTACTGCTGACACAGTTTACATGCTGCCTGTTAGTGTGACCTGCTGTGTGATTTACAGAGCCTATAGAAACACCGATCCAGCAGCTTTTCCTTTATCTGCCTTCAATACATTCTTCACTAACCATCACTTTCATTCTAATTTTCCATGTCGAATCCTACAGAACTCTGTCATGCAACCTGAATGCATCATGCAACAGAGTTTATAACTAGAAATAGCTTGTACACAACACATGAAATTTCACACCATGGAAATTAGTTATAGATGCATATGCAGTGTAGGTTATCTCCCTTCTTTATCTAATCATAATTTCTCAAAATGAAAAGTTAATATGTATGAGTTGATTATATAAACTACCTACTAAATAAATTAAAAAAAAATAAAAAAAAAAATCTGTTCTAAATAGGCAGTCATCTGGGTTTTGTGGGCTTTTTTTAGGGAGGTGGGAGGTTTGTTTTGTCTTTTTTAATATTGCAACCCATCTCTGTGTTTCTACAATCATGTATTTTCTTTTGGAACAATATTTCTGTGGAAATCTATGAAGCAAATGCTCACACGACCTTGGCCTACTGCAAGTAAAGTGTCTTGTGATACGACAAACAGCTGTACAAGTGAGGAACAAAAAAAAAACTGCCTTAAATGTGTTGTTTGAAACAGCATAATGGCCACCCCACTTCTGGAGAAAGGTGCCTGCAGCTTTGTCCAGTGAAAAGGCAGTCAAATAGGTTACTTGGATCATATAAGCATTCTTATGCACCATTCTCTGTGTTTCTTATACTCCTTGGAAGGGTCCCTCACAAAAATTGAAGGATATGCATGTTTTGAAAGCTGCATGACTTCAAAAGCTATGGTAGCAAGATAAAAGACTTCTTGTTATCTCCTGGTAATAAAAACAGCTCAATTCCCATCCTAGAGGACTTTAGCTCTGAAAGTACAAGGAGCTTGTAGTTGTTTATTTAATAGACAGATATTGGGATCACAGTATCACAAGACAGCAAAGAAAGGGCAGATGTGTTTTGCTGCTATTTATGTTATGCATAGTAAGCCAATGAGCAACTGTTATTTTTATTTTTTCATATTTCATATAAGATTCAAAAATAGAGAACTCCTAAAATTTGGCAAAGTTCTAAATTCATTTTTCTTCCCTAAGCAGAAACAGTACTGCCTACAGAAACAATGGGCCATTTTCAACATCTTTAGCTACAACACTCATAACTTCTGTAACCCCCTTGGCCACTGAAGTGTTAACTTGCATAAAATTACATTTTCCAAAGAAATAGAATGTGTGTATAATTAATACATACTAAATATTTACCTGAAGACGATCCATGGTTAGCAATACTAATCTCTTTACTGATTACTTTACTGTTTGCAGTCACTGTACCAAAATTCATCTCTGACTCAATTTCCAGGCAACAGCGTGGAATTAATCTGCAGAGAAAAAACATGGTTATATATTCCCAAAATCTGAAAATACCTTTGCATTTTTAAAGAAATTTGGTTAACTACTCTAGTAGAAGAGAGTTCTACTTTTCTTCTATTTCTCCTACCAATGTTTATGCAACTCGCTTCACAGGGAAGATATAAAAGAGATCTAGCTGTCTATCAAGTTGTTTAATTACTAACTACTGTAACTTTAAAACAATATAGATTTAAACAGTTGGTCAAAATGGAATGTATACATTTCTATTTAATTTTAAATAACTATAGTACTAAGAACTTTAAATAAAACTAGTTAGTTACATCACAAAAGAAGACCAAAGTTTACATTCACTGTATTTCATTATTAGCTGCCTGAACTAAAAGCAGACAGAAAACGTGCATACCACTTTCAATTTACAATCATCTTGTTTTATAAATACTTTATGTGACTTCAACAGAACTTATTATGACAGACAGAAGTGGATAATGACACAAGCTATTTCTATTATTGATTTAAGAGCCTTAGCCAGCATGACAGCATCACTGTATTGGGTACTTCTTAGCTACAACAAAAAGATCATGCTTGTTTCAGGAAACTTGCATTTTAACGGCTGCAATTTCTCACACAGTCACATCTCTGATCTCACATAAACTGTATTTGAAATCAATTGGAATTTTACATCACCACAACAGTCTGTCTCCTCTTAACCACAAATAGAAACATGCAGGAACAAGTATATCATGATCTGTGTTACATGTGGTACTAGAGACCAAATGGGAAAGGAAGATACTTCCCCTTGCCGAGCTAGGTAGACCCTGCCCGTATAATCTGTTACATGGAGAGGTGGGGAGGGTGGGGAGTGGGGAAAGAGATGTGTTAATGTCATCAACATTATCATAACCAAATTAGAATAAAGCAAAACCAAAATCCAAACTCTTTCTAGAATCTTAAAGGAACATTACCCCAACTAGCTACTTAGCTTTCTGTTGCCCTGGGGAAAAAAAAAAAAAAATCTTACTTTTGTAAGAAAAGTTACTATTTGTTTTCAGTGCAACTGACAGATTAATTCTATAGCCATACGTGACTTGTATTAGCAAGCTTTCCACAAGATTAAACTGCTAATAATACAGCAGCATATGAACTTCTGAACACCGTACCCAAGCAAGGGGATATCAACTATCTCATCTTCTATTAAAAGAAGTAGTCTATCTTGAAGATCTTCTTTACTCTTAGGATAATATTCCACAAAAGCTGTAACTCGAAGTCCAGGTGCAACAGGTTTTTCTGGATTTTCCACAATCAACTTAAACTATAGCATAAAAAAAAAAAAAAAAAAAAATTTGTAAAAAAATTTCGTAAAAAAATTTCTAGATTAAAAACCATACACACGTGATTCATTGATTTACAATTCACAACCAGCTTTAAAATATGCAGGATTTTATAAAATTTCTTTTCCTATTTAATGAAGTTCAGACTTTTTACAGTAAAACAGAAAGCAAATACTAATCCATCAAATTACACTGAAGAGTTATCTTAGCAAAATATAGTTTTGAGTCTTTCCAAGAGAGTTCTAGCTTTTCCTACTGTTGTAATAAACCTTCAGCAACACAGAAGTCAGCTGTTACTCAAGGGTGAATCTTTTCAGTACCTCAGAAAGTAACAAGGATTAAGTCTTATTTCAAAGCAGCAACCAAAAGAGACTGCATCAGAGGTTTCTCTAGGTCTGATTGACATTGGGCTAACATCAAGAGAAAGTCTCACAGATTATTGAAAAATCTGCTTGAAAAGCCCATGGCACCTCCAATCTGGGGGATGAAATGAAAGAAAAAAACAACACAGAAGCAGCTGTCAGAAAGCAGGTTTTCCCTCTCTCAAAAATTCTGGATTTGTTGTTGTCTGTAAGCATCTGCTTATATCCAACAGCCCCCACACATTTTTCCTTGAACATAATATACAAGCAGTCTACTAGTACATAGTGGGAAATACAGCAGTTCCCATGTTCCTAGGAAAGTCTCGTAGCAAGATCTATAGCTTCTGGGGTGTTTCAGTCTCCTTACAATTCACATCACTCTATGCACAAAAGCCTTCTGCTTTATATGTCCAGTTTTATTCATGTTATTTCTGAAAAATGCCATCCCAGTATTCTTCAATTTTTCTGTTCTAAGTCATGTTTGACATATTCAGGCATACCATTTACTACTTGTTGATTCTATTGTCTGAGCATCCCCTTCTATTCCTTTAAAATTTTTCCTCAGCTAAAGGAAATTTCTTATGTAATATATATCATGATTATGGGCTTGATTTTGAAAAAGTAGCCATGCTTTAATTTTGAAGCGTGTAAAATTTTTTTTTGAAGAGAATTAAACAGCCAAGCATATTCATTTTATGCAAGGGACTTCTAGTGAAACCTGTGGAAAACTGCTTTGTCAGCTAAATTTCTTGAAAGGCATTTTTTGGTCATGCACCATAACAGCTTAAGGAAGGTTGTTTTTCAGTTCTTGCAATCTACGAATGTAACACCTCTGAAAATTTAAGGATGAGTCATACACTTCAGAGCTGTGTACTCAGAGATGGCAGCATAAGGTCTGTGAATGAGAAAGGTCAATACATCAGACCTTTCTGGAACTGAGCATGTGAAGTGGGACCTTGTCCTCTTAACATTCAGATTAGTTGTCTCATTCACAATAGCATTAAAATACTCTGCAAAAGGCATGAGATACTTACAGAAGTAAAAACTCATTATGACTGAGTAACTTTTTCTCTAAAATTGACTCTGCCTTTCCACTTCTGGAGCACATGAAAAATTGATAAAGCTGATGAAAACTAGCAAACCAGAATAAGCACAGCCCTACAATATCAACCACACTCAACAGTTTCCAGATCATTCCAACAGTCTTCAGTTACAGTGTAATAAAAATCAAGCTCTCCACATGACACAAAGTTTAGTGGGGCTGTAAAATGCAGTTTTGGCCACCCCTGCCCTCAAAAGAAAGTCTGACTACTCAAACAGCAAAATTATCCATAGTACTTCAATTGTCTGACAATCATTTAGATGACTACCCTGGAATATACTTATTCATAGTCCAAGCTGCTGTGAACACAAAGCAACATCAGCTTCTGTTCAACCCCCAATGCCAATTTAACCCTTTGATCCTAATTTTGACATAATTAACAGATAATAAACTTGGTAAATGAAAGGCCAAAGTAAAATTACTAACCACAGCTGGGTTTTGCTGGATCCACATAGGTTACAGGTCAAGGGCTAAACTGGTTAGAATTCTAAAGATGCATTTGCCTTTAAAAAGTCTGCCTATACAATGATTTTTCCAGAACTAATTAGATTATATTAACAGTAATCATACTATCTTGAGAGAAGATGTTAAACTCCTTTTTTTCTGAGAAAGCTATCTGCAAGCAAGCATAACAAATGGACTGCTCCACTCAAAAAACTTAGAAGAATATAATACAGAAATGAGGTAACAGAGCTATCAACCAATCCTATGAAAATCCAAGCAAAAACAATTTCAAACATTGTGACCTTCAGCTGATCTGGAACACTTCTCAGATTTGGTGTTTACAGTGTAGTAAACTGATCCACTTCTAAGTGACACTCCCTGAAGTAAAAAGGATCTCATGGGCTTCTTGAGGGATAGAACTTTTGGAGAGTGCAAAGCCAGCCAGTAAAGTTAAGCAGCATTTTTTACCAACAAGGGACTTTATGTAGTAAAACTTGCAAGCAAGTACTTCTACTGAAACTATGGATTTAAAAAACGAGGAAGCTCTCTTCAAATTGCTCACGACCTCAGGAAAACATAGAGCTGAGAAGTCTGGAGTTCATTTCATTTCATCCTGACTTACAGGCTTCGAATGAGCAGCCTCATTTGAAGCTCTATGAAAGAACATTTTTCAAGTATCATAGAAATGAGACCTACACATTTTCACAAGAAAATGATAAACCAGGACTGGCTTCCTCCTTCAGAACTGTCAAGAAGCAATTCAGACAACTCTGAGAATTGCCTCTTATTCTTTCCAGTTTATCCAGTTATTCAAGTATTTTAGATTAGTCTCCAATTCACTGGTAAATTTCAGTCAGTTTCATAAGCTGCTCAGACATCCATGAGCCATTTGCAGCAGCCGAATGCATTTATACCTGCCCAAGCAGCCTCTTACATAGGACCTACCACGCTGGGCAAACCTATGGGCAGACCTTTGTGCAGAAAATATTTTCTGCCCTCGTATTTTCTTCAGAAAATAAAAGCTGGACATCGAGATGCACTTTTGCTCTGACAATGTTCTGCACTTCAAGGAGAGCCTGGCAAGAGCAGGGCTGGGCCGAGCACCAGTTCCTCAGCCAGGGCAAGCCCTGGAGGGAGGGACAGAGACCCGGGTCGGAGTGTTTGCATGGGACACTACCGTTACTCACGCACGCTGGAGCGGTGCGAGGTGCTGTACAAACAAGCACAGGACCAACAGCTGACTCATAGACACTGGCAGACATCGCCGACGTTACACCCGCCCGGGCAGGGGCCGTGGAGGCAGGCACTCCCCGCTGCTTCCCTCCCGGCCACCCCTC